GTATCTGCTTTGATAACTGCTAGGTGGAGTCTTTCAGAGGCCCTCTGTGGTAACCTCCTGTCCTGTTTCTTGTTTTTTCCTTCTTCCAATGTCCATCCCATTTGTCTTTCTAAGTGAGGAAAGACAAATTCTTTCTTGTTTATCTGCTTTAGGTGAAAAGATTTTAGTATGTTTATCCTATTTCATAGGTCTAGTATCCACTTATAAGTGAGTATATATCATGTGTGTCTTTCTGTTCTTATGATATCTCACTCAGGATGATCTTGTCTGGATCTCACCATTTGCCTGCAAATGTCATGATGCTCTGCAGACTATCAAAGCAGATGCTGAGACTCATGGCCAACTGTTGGGCAGAGTCCAGGGAATCTTATGAAAGAAGTGGGAAATAGTAAGATCTGGAGAGGACAGGAAGTCCATGAGGAGAGCAACAGAACCAGAAAATTTGAACCCAGGGGTCTTTCCAGAGACTCATACTCCAACCAAGTTCCATGCATGGAGATAACCTAGAAGCCCTGCACAGATGTAGCTCATGGCAGTTCAGCATCCAAGTGGGTTCCATAGTAATGGAAAGAGGGACTGCCTCTGACATAATCTGATTGGCCTGCTCTTTGATCACCTCACTCTGAGTGGGGAGCAGTCTTACCAGGCCACAGAAGATGACAAAGCATCCACTCTTGATGAGATATGATAGACTAATATCAGAAGGAAGGAGAGGAGGACCTCCCCTATCAGTGGACTTGGGGAGGAGCATGCATGAAGAAGGGGAAGGAAGGTGGGATTAGGAGGGGAGGAGGGAGGGGCTTATGGGGGGATACAAAGTGAATAAAGTGTAATTAATAAAAGTTAAAAAAAGATTTCCTTGTTTGTAATTGCTGAGTAGTATTCCATTGTGTAAAAGTACCACAATTTCTGTATCCATTCCTCCATTGATGGACATCTGGATTGTTGAGAAGCAGCCTTGCTAAGCTACAGAGGAGGACATTGTAGCCAGTCCTGAAGATACCTGATAAAATAGAGTCAGATGGAAGAGGAGGAGGATCTCCTCTATCAGTGGACTTGGAAAGGGGCAGGGAGGAGATGAGGGAGGGAGGGTGGGATTGGAAGGGAATGAGGGAGGAGGCTGGGATACAAAGTAAATGACCTGTGATTAATATTAAAAAAAATTAAAATTATGAAAAAAAAAACCAAAAGAAAACCTATCCCCAGTAACACACATTATCCAACAAGACTGTACCTCCTAATCCTTCCTTACCTTGGGACCAAGTATTCAAACATGGGAGCCTATGGTTTCATTCTACTGGAAACCACCAGAAATATGCTTCATAAGCTGCAGAGATGAACAGTAATTGAATTCTGAATAAATGTGGATATTGACATTGTGAGTAGACAGAATTAGTTTCCTAAGGTGACCATCATTTCCATATCTTTTTGTAAATACAATGCTATGGGTGTGAATAAACCCTTCCAAATATTGTTCAAAACTTGGCCATGGAGTTCTGTATCAGCAGTAAAGAGCATTTGCTGCTTTGGCAGAGGGTACCAACATGGATGCTTGCAATTGCTGTAACTCCAGTTCCAGGGAATTCAATGACCTCTTTTGGCTTCCATGAACATTAGACATTGCTGTGATAAGCAAAAAAGGCATCCAGATACTCAGAATACACATAACAGTATCCATAAATTTTATAAAAATTCACATTAAAAAAATTAAATACAGTCAGAAGGTGGTCCTTATAAAAGACTTAACCTAGGGTCACATGCTTTACAGAAATTATCAACAAGTCTGTGTGACAGAAGAGCCTGTGAAGCTTCGCCAAGTCTGAGAATAACGGTTTATGTCTTACAGGCCCTTAGGATGCTTTAATTAAGCCTCATGAAATATGTGAGTAGTTGTGCTGTGTTGACGACTAGCTTTGACATCGATAGGGGAAACTGAGCAGGGAGTAGCTTCAGCTGGCTGATCATGCAGCAGACTTTCTCTGAGGAAACCTTTCCAGGCTGGAACTGATTGTTACCAACAGCAGCTTCCACTGATAGTGGCGAGCTGAGGGGCTGGGGTTTCACTGTTCCCAGCAGTGGGCCAGAGCTGGTAGCTTTCTGGCAGAGGCTTCCACCTAAGTGTGGCAAGTGGAGGCTATGGTTGTTGGCTCTTAGTGGGCCTTCCACTGGTGGTGGCAAGTGTCTAAAAAGGAAAGGAAAGAAGGGGAGAAAAAGAACACACACACACACACACACACACACACACACACACACCACTTGATGAAGTAAGACAAACTCCAACAGGTAAGTTCCAACAAGCTTCTTTAACTTTATTTTTTTTCTCCCACAGTTTATATACCCCAGCAAAATATTTCAAGCAATGTTAAGAGTTACAATGTGATTACATTTTATTACTCTTTTAACAAAATGGTCATGAAGAAACAATATATTTTCCCAATGTCCTTAGTGAAAACCATTTACAGATTACAGGTAGATTAAAAACATTATTTCCATGAACCCAAATACATTTGTAACTAAGCAATTTGTTATAGGCTAACAAAGTATGAGCAAACAAGGTATTTTTTGAGCCAGATTTTTTTCTTTTCTGGCAGGCTGCAATTTGCAGTTACAAAGAGTCAATTATCTTGAAAAGCAATCTTGTAAAAATCTTTAAAGAATCACAAGTCTAAAGTTTTATATAAAAAACAATTAGTATAAAACCAGACACATTAAACCTGTTAGAAGAAAAAGTGGGGAAGAGCCTTGAACTAATTGGCACAGGAGACAACTTCCTGGACAGAATACCAACAGCACAGGCTCTAAGTGCAACAATTAATAAATAGGACCTTATGAAACAGAAAAGCTGTAAAGCAAAGGACACTGTCGTCAAAACAACAGATCTTACAGATTGGGAAAGGATCTTCACCAACCCTGTATCTGACAGAGAGCTAATATCCAGTATAGATAAAGAACTTAAAAAGTTAAACAGCAACAAATCAAGTAATCCAAAAAAAGATGGGGTACGGAGCTAAACAGACAATTCTCAATAGAGGAATATAGAATGGCAGAGAAACACTTAAAGAAATGCTCAACCTCATTAGCCATCAAGGAAATGCAAATCAAAACGACCCTGAGATTTCACTTACACCCATCAGAATGGCTAAAATGAATAATTCAAGTGACAACACATGCTGGAGAAGATGTGGAGAAAGGGGAACCATTCTCCACTGCTGGTGAGATTGTAAACTTATACAACCACTTTGGAAATCAGTCTGGCACTTTCTCAGACAATTAGGAGTAGTACTTCCTCAAGATCCAGCTCTACCACTTCTAGGCATATATCCAAAAGTCGCTCAAGTATACAACAAGGACATCTGCTCAACCATGTTTGTAGCAGCTTTATTTGTAACAGCCAGAAGTTGGAAATAGCCCAGATGCCCCTCAGTTGAGGAATGGATACAGAAATTCTGGTACATCTACACAATGGAATATTACTCAGAGATAAAAAACAAGGAAATCATGAAATTTGCAGGTAAATGGTGGGAACTGGAAAAGATCATCCTGAGTGAGGTATCCCAGAAGCAGAAAGACACACAGGGCTAAATTTGATTCTTACTCTGATGGTCCCAGTTTTCTTACAATGTATATTGTTCTGTAACTTTTCTTGGATAAGTGAACAAATAACTATTTCAGGAAATGGAATAAAAAAATTAATTTAACGCTAGTGTTGGGGAAAATGAGTTTCCTGAGGTTACATATATAACTATAGGCAACTAACAATATCTAAGAGAGGGTGAATTAGGTTTCTTCAGGGATGAGCCTTGTGAGTTATCCAACAGATTGTCGTCTTTAAAATCACACACATACAAAAAACACCAAGTGAATTTAGCAAGTTTTATTTACATATTTGTGTGTCTGTGTGTGTGTGTGTGTGTGTGTGTAACAGCAGTTATTAAAGATAAAGAGGCTACGAATTTGAGAGAGAGTATAGAGGAACAGGAACTTTGCTGGGTTTGGAGGGAGGAAAAGGAAGGGGGAATAATATAATTATATTTTAATTTCAAAAAGGATATTTAAAAAGTAAAAAAACAAAGACAGAAGTATTTTCATCAGCATGATTTTTCATTTGTGGGCACAAAAACTAAAAGAGTTTCACTACTATGTAAAAGCTATATAAGTGATAAATGATAAATGTTTCGAGAATTCTTAATGTCCAAAATAAGTAATATAGCAAGAAGACTGGAATAAACTCAAATTTTTCTTTAAATGTTTCTCAGTTGACAATATACTTGAAACAATAGAAAAATTGCATCTGGTGCAATTCTGTATGCCATTTTTCAATATTCTAAACTATGAAATTACACTTGTTCAAATATAATTAATGTTTTATCCTTTCTGTGGTTCATACACATACACATTTCACACTATTCATTAATAACATTATTAAAATCTGCAAGAGGCTATTTCATGATAGTAGATTACATTATGTCGATACTAGGAGTTCTTCTGTCTAAGTGGTCCATGTTCTAAGAGCCAGCCACGGAGTTCATGTCAGAGAGTCCCTCTTCCTCTTACTTAGAAACCCACTTGGATACTGTATAGATCACCTCCCCCCTGATGGGGGAGCTGCCTTACCAGGCCACAGAGGAAGAAAATGTAGCCAGTCCCGATGACATCTGATAGGCTAGGGTCAGACAGAAGGGGAAGAGGACCTCCCCTATCAGTGGACTTGAAGAGGGGCATGGGAGGAGAAGAGGGAGAAAAGAAGGGATTGGGAGGGAATGAGGGAGGAGGCTACAGCTGGGATACAAAGTGAATAAATTGTAATTAATATAAAAAATAAAAATAAAAAATAAATGGCCCATGTTCTTCATATTTTGGGCAGTGCTTGATCCACACAGAATTTTGGAAAATTCACAAAGCCACAACTAAATAAAAAAATGAAACTGTAGATATAAAAAAACTGAATCTCTTAAGAACAGGTTGTCTACTAGACTACAGAAGACAATTTACTACATAGCCTAAGAACTTGGGTGTTCTGAAACATAAAGCCTGGGCCTCAGCCACCTCAACATGGACAGAAAAGCCTGTCTGAGCTTAGTGTTTCCCAGAATTAGGACACAGGAATGGATTGAAGGAAAAGCAAGTGCTGTGTCCTCAACAGGCAAATTGAACAAATTTTCCTGCCAAATCTCATTTTCCCAAAAATGAATGACAAGTGCAAGAAAGAAAATGGTATACAGTAAAAGGAATGCCACCATCATATGCAGGGCCCTTATGTGGGCTGTAGTGCTGGAGTCTCTGGAGCCTTCAGAGTTGAGCTGCATGTTCTTCAGATGTCTCCACAGGGAGAAGATGAGCAGAAGGAAAGATACCAAGGACACAGTGAAGGGTATGAATGTGAACACAGTGATTATCAATAAAGGAAGCATAGACAACTGCATATAGTTATTTGAATGAGAACTATAGGACATATTTGCGTTATAGTCATCACTCCAGATTCCAGATAATGTGTTTACAACTATACTATTCATAAACAAGAAGAGAAGGGATGCCAAAAGTGTCCCTGAAACCACTTTTCTTACTCTCCACTTCAGGAAAAGAAAAATAGAATTTGAAAAATTAGCTATCTTGAGAAAATAAAAGATGCTGAGACATGTAGCAAGCCAGATGTTGAAATGATTGACCACTGTCCAGGAAATACTGAGTATTCTCAACATTTTTTCAGTTTTCATAAAGGACGAGTGCCTCTCATTTATCAATGAAACTGTGAGTAGTGACCACATAAAAGCAAGTCTGGAGATGGCGAGGGCAGTAAAGAGCTGATCCACTGAAGACATTTTTCTTCTCTTGACCCAGTCCATGATGTTCACCACAGCTATGAATCCATTTCCTAAACTCCCTATAGTGATTTCCACACCTAAGATGACTAATAGTATGTACTGTGCCTTCATTGCCACCAGGAGATGCTTCAAGTTCTACTGCAAAGCTGACGGTTAGGTAATGTGATCTTCTCAAAGGCTATGTCTACGAGGTTCTTGAAAATTCAAAAAATAAGTTTTATGAGATTCCATACACAATGTCAATAAATCATCAACATTCACTAATGACTTGGTTTATAATTTTTGTTAAAAACTGGATATTGTCCAAAACAGCCAAGATAAACTTCATTTAGGTGGTAAGCACCTTACATACCACATCAGGAAGTTCTCTGTAGTTGATGCTAAAAGAAATATTGAATTTTCATGTCAGTCATCAAAACAAAGATTACTCATATTGGCATTGTTTTGCCTGCTTACTTATTAAAATTTAGCTACCTAATTTCCAGTCAAGCTCAGTGTCAAAAATATAATTCACATAGCAGGCAATACAATTAAGCTGGCAAATAGAATAAGAATGACACTAAGAACATTTAAAAAATTATCTGTCATGGAGCTTAATCTTGTTTTTAAGGTTCTTCCCTTAAGTTATTAGAGCGTTATCCCTGTAAGTATCTTCTACTGAAAATACTGATTGTCTTTCTTCAACAAGGTCATATATGAACTTCTTTTACATGAACATACAAATGTATACTAATACATAAGCATAAAGTTAGACCCACAGCTTCTTCATTTGTCACTTTAGTAACTTATGTTTACCATTAATAAACATTTTCTATGCATCTAACTCATGCTGATTACTATGGTAGCTGTTTAGACATTGTGTAAAACTGCTTTTCGTGTAGTTGATGCGGTACACACCCTGCAAGCATGTATCCATTTTATACAGGCATGAAAACAAATTTAGAAATATTCCTCTTGTTGTCCTTAACAGATCATAATTTTATGTAAATTAACCTACACCACAAACTTTCTTATCATCTCTGTGCCTCCCTTTTGCAACACATCCTGCCCTTCTTTCGCAACAAGAAGCTTCAGAGAGTATTCATTTCACTTTATTTGGTTTCAGTACCTGCTTCTATACACTTACTCTAGGCATCAATTCAGAATGCTGTCATGCCATTCTTGCCTAGGCAAGCTGGAAAATGGAGCATGGCATGATAGCATCCTTCAGTAAGCTCAGGGAGAGTTAAAGAAGCAATGACACAAGTAGAACAAAGACAGGAGGAAAACATACATTAAACACGACAGTAAAGTCTTCTGGTACCACTGGTCAACATATCTCAACATTTAAGATGCTAACTCAGGAGGATGACATGTCTGAAGCTAGTTTGTAATACATTGTGGGATCTAGTCTCAAAACAACAACAGAAATCTATAGAGATTGAAGAGAAAGACATAGAGTGTGGCATGTCAGAGAGGGACCACAAACGCAGTCAGTTGAAGAAGTGCTGTGTAAGGAAAGTGGTAGGTCTTAGGATTGTCCAGCCTTTGAGGAACAGACATACTAAGAAAGTAAAACAGCTCAGCGCTTGAATTTTGAAGAGAAATTGCTATGATAGAAGTATAAGCATACAGTCTGCTAAGAGAGAAATATAAGCATACCATCACTGCAGAGACATGGAGGTCCTTCTGGCATGCTTCCTTCCTTACAACAGGAAGACAGATAAATGCAAAACAACCTGGGGAAGGTGTGGAATGGGTGTTGCTACTGGAACTGCAAGATCTTTTATAAAAGTGACAGAATTTGAATCCACTGGGAGAGTAGCAATCACTCGGAGGAGCTTCTCCAAACCTTTCTTCTGCACCTTCCACTCTGGCTAAGAAATAGAGAAGTTCCCCCTGAGGAGTGGATAATAGGAAAGCCAGTGTTTTCTGAAAGGAGAGCAAAACCAAGAACAGTTTCCAAGTAATTCAAATCATAGAGAAAATGACAGATTCCTTCCTCAGAAGCATGAATGACCTTGTAGATTTTATATTTACATATATGATTACAAATCAGTGTATTCCATATTTTTGCTATGTGCAAGTTTTATTGTCTCACTAATACAAGAAATTGAAAAGGGTTTAAAAAAACCTAAATTCTCCCTTTACATCCCTTCCTTTTATTTAGATCATTATTGTTATAATCTTCTACCTATGAATCTCCAGTGCTTATACACTTCAAAAGTAAAAACAAATTAGATTCTTGATAGAAACACTCAAATTTACCAGAAATTTGAGAAAGTGTATTCAAAGTCCATTTTTCTGTTTTTAAAATTAGTGTTGGTTTTATGTAAAATTCTGCATTTCAAGGAAAAAAAAACCCGTGTGATTTCTAGTGCAATAGAAATACTTAAATATATGTTATGGACTTATAGATGATGACACATGACTAATTACTGACAACATATAAGAATAGGATAGATAATTGATATAGGTAGATCATACATAGACATGTGTCACATAGACTTGAAGAGTCTGCCTTGTTCCTCTCTATAGAACTATGTTCTCAGGGAGGAGACCGAGACATTTAGCTACGTTCTCAGAAAGCAGACTGTGCTACATGTCCGGCAAGGTCACCATAGCTGCTCATAATTTGTCTTTTATCTTTGCTTGTATGAACATGTATCAAGGATTGACCACTTGAGATTTGACAACCTCTATGGAAGTTTGTTGCTAGATAATAGAGATTCTCCTCTCTCATCAGACATTCTCCACTCATGGTTCTTTTATCCAGGGGATGAGACAATATCTCACAGCAGACATCCTGGTCTTCTGATTCTATCTTTCTGTCTCCTCTTCTGGGAACTGACAGAATATTTATATATACTTTGGGATGTAATCTTTGAGTCTCATGAACACCATTAAAAATAGAGATGATACAATTATTTTTCTCCTACCTGTATCTCTTTAATTCGCTTTTCTTGTTTTATACTTATAGCTAGGGCTTCAAGTACTGTATTGCAAATAAATAGACATTGTGGGCAGCCTGTCTCATTCCTGATTTTAATGGGCTTGTTATGAATTTTTCTCCATTTATGGTAATGTTGGCTTGGGTTTCTCATATATAATCTTTATTATATTGAGGCATATTCCTTCCAATCCTTTTCTCTCTACAACTTTTATGATGCAGCCATGTTGGATTTGCCACAAGCCTTTTCTGCATCCCTTAAGATGGTCATGTGGTTTTCTCTTTTAGTCAGTTTATTTAATTTATTACATTTACTGGCTTATGTATGTTGTGCTATCCCTATATCTCTGGGAAAAAAGCCACCTTGATCATGGTAGATGATCTTTTTGATATATGTGTATACTGTTTGCAAGTATTTTATTTAGAATATTTGTGTTCATGCTTGTCAGGGATATGGGCCAATTGCTTTCTTTTGTTGCTATGGCTTTACCTAGCTTTAGTAATACTTGATTTGTAGAAGGAGTTTGGAAGTGCTTCTGTTTCTTGTTTTAGTAATTTGAGAAGTATTGGTTGTACAGCACTGAAGTTATTGTCAAATTCTGCTGTGAACCTATCTGGATATGATTTTTTTTCCAGTCAGAAGAACTTTTATTACTATTCAATTTCCTTGTTTGGGAAAGGTTTACATAGTGCCACCCAGGGCCTGCTTACCCTTGGGGTGTCCAGTTACCTTTGAGCACTAGGCTGGACTGGAGGGAATGAAGTTCAGCAGGAAAAGAGGGTTTCGCAGGATCTCAGTCAGTGTGACTGTAGAGAAATAGCCTTCAACAGAGACAGTTTTCAATGAAATAGCTCTCTTTATTTTGGGGGTATAATGGCTAAATAAACCTTGAAAAGTGGGTAGAAGCTTTTGGGGTATATTCATCATTGGCTGGGGCCAAGGTGCTGTGGATGTTTCATTTGTATAAAGAAAATTTCAGGCACTTGTTGGACATGTCCTCATAAGGAGAGAGGAACTTTAACCTGTAACCTGGCCACCTGGCTATATGAGTACATCATATAGGGTAATAGAGGTCAGGGTTGCAAGGCTACATGCACTGGGACACGTAGGCTCAGGGCAGTAACAAAGCAGTCCTACTCTTGCCTGTCTCAGGATGAGACTTTTGGGGTTTGGATATGTCTTGACTTTATCCTTGCTTCAGACTGGCTCCCTCCCCCCCGCCCAGTTGTATGGCTTTGTGGCCCCACATTTCTGCCTTTTTGTTTTATAATGGGGAAATGTCATCATAGTCATAATAAGCCTTTATGTTGAGAATTATTTGGTATTGAACCAGACCTAATTGCCAATGATTTTCTCAATGCTATTTCTTTGCCAACTTAGAAATTGGAATAGGCAGAGTGCCAGGAGTAGTAGGGCCTTAATGGCCAGTGTGAGGCTAAGGAGGGAAAGAAGCCAAGCGACCAGAGGGTTTGAGTTCCATGGAGTAGCAGTTTTAAGTGCATAGCATACCTGAAGATCTCACTGGAGATCTTTGGGCATTTGTATGTTTTCTTCCATTAGTCTAGATTCATTGACATAGAAGCAATATTATTTCCCCAGCACATGCAAATCTCTCTCTGATCACCAATTAACAAGTCCAGAGCTCTTTGGTTTTGTAGAACAACTCGTGCTAGGAAAATCATCAGTTGCTGAAGACTTGAGACTGCTCATGGTAGAAGCCACCGCCTGGTCAAGTTTGTCCTGGAAGCTGCCAGCTAAATGTGTCTGGTCCTTTTGTAGTGAAAACACAAACTTTTTAAATTTTTTTAATATTAGTTACAGTTTATTAACTTTGTATCCCAGCTGTATCCTGCCCTCTCATTCCCTTCCAATCTCACCCTCCCTCCCTCATCTCCTCCCTGCCCCTTTCCAAGTCCACTGATAGAGGAGGACCTCCTCCCCTTTCATCTGACGCTGTTTTATCAGGTATCTTCAGGACTGGCTGCAAAGTCCTCCTCTGTGGCCTAGCAGGACTGCTTCTCCCTTGCGGGGTGGGGAGGTCAAAGAGCCTGCCATTGAGTTCATGTCAGAAATAGTCCCTGTTCCCCTTACTAGGCCTGAGCTACCATGCGCTACATCCAAGCAGAGGTTCTAGGTTATATCCATACATGTCCTTGGTTGGAGAAATATTCATAAAAGACC